CAATAATTCTAAAGATGATACTTCTTTAGGCATACAGTTCATGTTCATAAGCAGTAATTAAGCAAATTTTATTGCTTAATTTTATTAGGAACTATTTATAACTGAGTTTTCTTCAGGGTTGGAAAAAATCATGATTAAAAAAAAATAAAAAAAATCATATTTTTTTTTATTTAAATCAGATTTTTTTGATTTTAATAGAAAACATTATTTAAATCGGATTTCCAAATAATTAGGACTTAATTCCAATTAAATTCCTATCCTGAATGGCTAAATCTTCATAACTCTGCCCGCAATACTGACAACGCATGTCATTTTCCCAGACATCGGTCACCAATATATTCTGCAAAAAAAAAGTCGCTCGCTTCAGATCATAAGGATTTTTTGAAATGCCACAAGTGTATTATTTTTGTAATTTCAACGCCTAGACATAGTAAAGTAAAGCACTTTTACGCCTAAGCACAAAAGTACAAAAAATATATTATTAAACTGATATTAAGCGTCAATTTCAACGAGTGTACAAATTGTTACTCGATTACTTACAAGGCATTACTTTTATATATTTTTGCAATGTTTGGAATTGATAAAAAATTATTTGTAATGTTTAATTTGTAAAAATATAGTATATTCTACTCGGAGTAAAAATGTACTTTTGTGCCTTCCTGTTTACGCTAGTCCGTCAAACGTACAACCTCGTCAAAAAAAGTATAATTTTTATTCCTTACGCAATACACTATTGTTCGGAAATAGTCTTAAGGCGAGAATGAAATTAGTATTATCTATTGTCAAAGTGCAAAATAAAAATATATAAAACAGCATATTTTCTGACAACGCTTTGAAGATATAGCATCAAAAGAACCTTTTTCTGCACTAGAGGTTGCGAATGAAATGTATTCGAACATCATTTTATTTGTCACTTGTACAGGGTGTCCCATTTTGGTTGAAATCATACGGTATCTCCGTTATTAGTGAAGATAGAAGGGTGCGGTTTGCACAAACCTGTCTCACTTTTTTGTCAAATGGAAGATGCAGTAAACAAAATTTTCATAGCCCTCTTCGTTTCCGAGCTACAGGGTTTTTTTGAAAATGTTGCAATCGAGAAGGTGAAAACTGTTTATTGTAGAACTTTTTACGTAGAATACAGTGGCGTAGTCTGTTTTTCTACCAAAAAAATATTTTTGAAAATATGAACTAAAGTTATGTTTTTTTAAATGGAACACCCTGTATATTTATAAATCATATGATCTGTCTTGCCATAAGCTTCTCAAAAATATATATCACTCTATATTTATTTTCACTATTTACTGCAATATTTAAAAGTTTTTATTAAAAGATCATATTTATTAGTAGGCCATGATTGATAATAAAAGAAACTAAAGAATTATTAAAAGTATACTGCTATCTGTCTTTGTTTTATTTTGGGAGCCTCTAATAAATTCTTTATATATTAGGGAAACTTAACTCTCTACCGTTATTTGTAAATCTTGGAATACGTGTATACGTAAGAATAATCTTTCGTATCGGAAATTTTAGATATTCCTTTAGCTAATTTACGTGAAATATACTTTCAGCAAGATGGGGAACATTCCCCCTCATAACTATGGAAATATTAGAATACTGTTAAATTATTATTTTTCAAAATCAATGAATTGGAACCAATGAACGCATATTGATAGCCTCCTCGATTCCCGGATTTCGCCGTTCTCGATTTTTGATTTTGGGAATTTTTGAAATACGAAATATATCGTAGGCACTACAACAATGTCTAACACCTGAAAAATGCTTTAATAATTCAAGATTTAGATATTTGCAAACCCATTTCCTGTTATAAAAAGAAAATATATTCACAGTTTATGGTAACAGTTATTTCAAAAGTAAAATATATCAATCCCAAATAAATTTTAATATGTGTATGACTATTTTAGTAAATACCATTTTGATTTTTTGTTATTTATCACGGCCTACTAATAAAAAAAATGATATATTTTAAATATTGCAGTAAATAGTGAAAATAAATATAGAGTGATATATATTTTTGAGAAGCTCGTAGCAAGACAGATCATATGATTTTATAAATATACAGGGTGTTCCATTTGAAAAAACATAACTTTAGTTCATATTTTCAAAAATATTTTTTGGTAGAAAACAGACTACGCCACTGTATTCTACGTAAAAGTTCTACAAAAGCAGTTTTCGCCTCTCTCGATACCTTTAACAATAACAGAGATACAGGGGTGTCCCAAATTGCAAAATTTTTGGAAAAGACCCTGTAGCTCAGAAATGAAGAGGGCTATGAAAATTTTGTTTGCAGCATCTTCCGTTTGACGAAAAAGTGGGACAGGTTTGTGCAAACCGCACCCTTCTATCTTCACTAATAACGGAGATACCCTATGATTTCAACCAAAATGGGACACACTGTACATACGTTTCAAAATAAATCCCTGCCCTTTAGAAGTCATGGATTCACACGAAATTTCTTCAAAAATCGGTCCAACATTTTAATTGATGAATATATATGTAGTAGGTATAATATGTGTTATACAAATCATTTTTTATATAGTTTTATAACATTTACAATTTTTTTTTCGATTTATTAAACGTATTTAAATGTTACGATAGCAAGTGTAACATTTTATTTAACGAATAGATATAGGGTATATATGTTATAGAAATATTTTGTATAGTTTTCTAGGGCACATTTTTATAACGTTTACAGTTATTTTTCGATTTATTGTAAAGTTTTAAAAAAGTTGATTTTTTGATTTAAATCACATGATTAAAATTAAAAAAATCACTTGATTTAAATCACGATTTAAATCATGATTTAAAATATTGCCAACCCTGGTTTTCTTTATAAATGTTTTTTTTTACGTTGGTAACATTAAAGAAACTTTTGTAATACTACTTCAAAGTACTTCGAAGTTGTTCACGGTTTCCTGTTTTAATTCTAAACCTTCTTTTACATAAGAGGGCTTAGAGTAGGTTAGATTTTTGAGGCGGCTATCGCCCAGTTCCACTGCAACTTTTTCTGATCTATTGTGGTCCTCTTCTGATCTTTAAGTTTAATCCTCGACTCTTAGGTTAGGTTGCTGGGGTTTAGGATCGTTAATTTTTAGGCCTCTGTATTATTGTACCAAACCTTCCTCTTATTTTTTCTTTCGTTAAAGCTCTTCCAGCTCTTTGCAAAGTTCCCGATGTCGCTGATATTGGCTTTTGCTGCTTCCTCTAGTCCCTCCAAAATACTTTACCCTAAAGTTTTAAAGCGTTGGTATTCCAGTGCCGGACAATGATATAGTAAGTGCGCTATGATTTCTTCTTTCTCTCCGCATTCTCTGCAGTAGTCGTCCTTGGAAATATTCCATCTCACGAGGTTTACCCCAGGGGCAGTTTCCAGTGATGCCACCTACAATTATGCGTACTAGGTTCTTTTTGTGCTCTAGTAGTTGTTTTCTCTTTTTGCTATCTACCAGTGACAGTATTTGAGCTGGTGATGGCTCTTAAAGCGCCCAAGCTGTCAGAGTATATCACGATATCTGCTATTGGTCTATCAGCGATTTTCTCTCGTATACAACTGGCCGCTTCCTTTATGGCGTAAACCTCTGCTTATAGAACATTACAGCCAACCGATAGCTTTAAAGATCGTCGGATGTCTAGTTTCTCTGAGAATATGCCTATCCCTGTGCCTCCTGAACTTACACAGAAGCATCTGTGTAGACTGTTATCTCTTTAGTGTTTATTACTCGGTTGCTTTCCCATTCTTCCCGGGATGGGAATCCTTATCTTTTCTCCAAAATCGCGTTTGGTGAACATATAGTCCGTTTTCTGGTCTAGCAGATGTGGTGGTCTAGCAGATGGTGTATTCGCCATAATTTTCACTGAAAATATCCTCGAGTGGCCGTAGTTGGTCTGGTTCCACAGATTGGATTCCCTTAATCTTAGGCCACCCTTAGCGGCCAGATTCTTCACGAGCCAGTCAATTGATTGCAAGTTCAAAATTACTTCTAGTACAGCTTGCGCTGTGTTGTTCGTTGCTTCAGTTGTACCTAGAGCTGTTAATCTCTGTGCTTTTGTGAAGTTTTTTCTCGACTCTTTAAAAAGTCTAACAACTTGGAGACTGAACCCTCCAAATAGCTTTTTGTCAAAGACCTATCATTGTCTAATATAAGGAACCACACATTTTCCAGGCTGTCGCACTGACATAAAATGTGTTCTGTCGTTTCTTCTTCAGATTGACAGAACTTGCACATGGCTTCGTAAGATGCCTATTAAGCTTACGCTTACAAACAATGCCTTGCTAGTAGACCTACTACAGCTTTGACAGTGTTTCTGTCTTTGCTTATCAGCTCTATCCAGAGTTGCCAGATCTTTAAGATTTCCCGGAAAATCCCGGATCTAAGTTTAATTTAAATAAAGTATTTCTACTCAGTGGCACTCTTTCACAGAGGAACCTAAAGGAGGGATAGACAGAGTCCCTAAGCCCAGCAAGGCAATCGTCTAGTGGAAGAAAACCACAAATAAAAAATTACTTGGGAAGACAAGTCTCTTTAGTCGTAGAGAAGACAATTTGCCTAGGAGAGAGACACTCCGAAAGCAAAGCTCTGGCCCTCCTGGATGGTGGTTGAGGCATCGGGCTAACCACTCGGTACTCGTTAAAAAGATAAGGGTTAAAAATTCCAGGGATTGGCCTCGGAACCTAGGGATAAAACGAAGAGGACACAAGCTAAGAAAATGGATTACGAATATTGGTACTTGGAACGTCCAAGGTCTCTCCCAAAAAATTAATGATGTTCTATCAGAACTAAAGAACGCGAACATGGATATTGTGGTGCTGTCCGAGACAAAGAAGAAAGGACATCGGTTCAGAAAATTTGGGACAGTACGATCACTTTTTTTTAGGAGTCTCAAAAGATAAAAGAGCTCAACAAGGAATATCTATTCTGGTTAGGAAAAGTCTGAGACGATGTATCACCTCCTGGGAACCAGTTAGCCCACGCCTCATCAAAATGAATCTGAGTCTGCATGGAAAAAATATAACGATAATAGGAGTATATGCAGTTAACGATGATACCCTAGTTAAAGACAAAGAGAAGTTCTTTGAGCAACTTTCCTATGAAATTTCAAAAATAGGACAATCCAGAGAAATAATACTGACAGGAGATCTAAATTCTAGGACAGGAAAGAAACTACATGATAAAATAGTAGGCCAGTTCGGAGAAGCAATTCTTAACGATAATGGAAATAGACTTATCAATATATGCGATCAAAATAACCTCCGTATTTTGAACGACTTTTTTCAGCACCATGACATACATAAGTACACCTGGATACAACATTCTAGAAATTTGAAATCCGTCATAAATTATGTGATAGTCCGACAGTATACAGCGTTAAAGATTCAAGACGTACGAGTCTACAGACATACTACAGACATGTGGCAGTGACCATCATCTTGTCAAGTCCAAAATAACCCTTTCAGATGGTAAAAGAAAATAGACGAGAGAACAGAGGAAAGAAAAGACAACAGAAGTAAATATAATTTTAGATGGCTTCAACCACGAGAGCGTGAAGGATTTATACAAAAATCGACAGGGGTGAAAACTTGTGAAAATTTATAGAAGTTACTGGAGAAGAACAGTACAATTATATTATAGACTGCATGAGTGCATCAGAAGAAGCTTTGGGAAAATACGCCAAACCCAAAAGAAGAGTACCATACTGGTGGGATGAATAAATTGAGGAAATGATAAAAGCTAAACGAGAAAAGTACTACAAATTTCTAAATATAAAATCAGACGAAGCAAGCATGAATACAAAACAGCACAAAGAATTGTACGGACAGCTATAACAAAAAAGAAAAAGGCAATGAAAGCTGGGAAAGAAACTGCACAAGTATTAATACATATATAGGAGGTGGTAGAAATTGCCAAAGCTGGAGAATATTAAGGTCCCTTCGAAAAGAGAAGACTGAAGATATCATCTCACCAATTACATTACCAAAATGGGACGAATACTTTGCTAAACTGTTGAGACCGAAGAAAGGGCCGAATATCAACAAACATTTCAGCCACAATCCGACATTCAAATAAGAACCGCAGCTTCTCCACTGAGGATCAATTTACTCAAAGTAAAACAAATTTGCCAAACCCTGAAAATAGAAATCGCCTGGTCCAGGTGAAATTCCTCCAGAATTACTCAAGTATGGCACGGATAAATTATATAAACAGCTCGCTAGTCTTTTCAAAAAGTGCCTGTGGTGAAATATATATCTTAAAATATGGAAGACATCATATATAACAACAATACACAAGAAAGGAAGTAGACGATTGCGATAACTATCGAGGAATCTCCGTGCTGAGCTCTGTTTCAAGGGTCTATGGAAAATTGGTCAAAATGAGAATTGAGGAAGAATACCGGGATATGGAGGCTGAAGAACAAGCAGGTTTAGAGGCTGGTAGATCCACGGTCGACCATTTATTTACACTGACACAGATAGTTGAGAAAAAGATGGCAAGAAATCAAGAAATACATCTCCTCTGCGTAGACCTCAAGAAAGCGTATGATAGTGTACCCCAGTCTAAATTGTGGGAAGCCATCGAGAAAACTAATATCATCATAACATTAATTAAGGCTGTCCAAGGACTTTATAAGAACAACACTAGCCAGGTAAAGAAAGGACAAACAGTATCAAGGGATTCAGCATAAAACAAAGGAAGTCTTAAAACAGGGCTGCTGTCTATCGCCGACACTGTTTAAAATTTATTTGGAACAAGCTCTGAAAACGTGGAAAAGGAGGTGTGAACAGATGGGGATACCATTAAACTACTCGATACTTTACACTCTTTGTTTCGCTGATGATCAAATAATTCTAGCTCAAGACTACGAGAATCTGGAATACATGACCCGCAAACCAATTGAAGAGTATAACAAGTGGGGGCTGGAGGTAAAGCTCAAGAAGACGGAATATATGTGTATCGGCGGCGAACAACAGAACATAATCCTAGAACAGCAACAACAAGAAATAAAACACTGCAAAAGAAATAAATATCTTGGCTGCACATTACCAACGATGGTAGCCTTGATGAAGAAAATAAATGCAGAAACAACCAGGGAAGACAAGTAATTAGACAACTCAACAGTATTTTATGGGATAAGGCCGTATCAAAGAAAACAGACAAAATTTATAACAGCATGGTTAAAAGTATCATTAGTTATGGTAGTGAAGTATGGCCTTTGAAAGAAAGAAACCTTAAGTTACTCGAAGCAACAGAAATGGACTTCTGGAGGCGCGCGGCCAGAAAATGGAAACTGGATAGAGTTAGAAATGAAAGAATTGAGAACATCATGGGCGTTAAACACAGAATATCAGAAGACATCAAAATTAACCAACTCAGGTGGTACGGACACGTACAAAGAATGGAAGAGAACAGAATACCGAAAAAAATACTCAATTGGACACCACAAGGCAAACGCAAAAGAGGAGGGATACCTAGATGGAGTTGGAGAGAATGAATAGACAGGGACATCAGAACAAGAGGAATAGGCGAAAACCTCTGGACAGACAGAGACCAATGGAGACTGGAAATCGGAAGACGGCGAAGGACGTTGCAGCTGTTTATTATATATATATATATATATATATATATATATATATATATATATATATATATATATATATATATATATATATGACTGAGTAAGAAATATATATATATATATATGTATATATATATATATATATATATATATATATATATATATATATATATATATATATATATAATAATATATATTTCTACTCAGTCCTATAATTTCAATTTCGAGGCTTAAGAAATTATATAGTTGAATGTCATCGTCGTCATTTCAAACCCATTTTTTTCGATAAGAGTAGATTTTATATACTCAGTCATATATGTATAAAAACAAATAACAACTCAGAGGGTCCTTTACATATAATAATTCACATTATATTAACACCTGACCCATGGTCAAGTCAAGTCTATTTTCGTCTCGTGTAAACAACCCCTAACCTGTAGCACCTTTCCAAGAGATCGATTCTCCATTACCTACCTCTTTCCATTACATGTTTTTCCATTAAAGGCACATTATTTTTAACGGTCGACCTAGTTTACATAGATCTTCAGCGCTGACTAGGCGAGCAATTAAAACCTCTATTTTTAGTGTAAACATAGTCAAATTACTGTTTTGCATTATTACTTAAGATGTTTTACTATAAAAGAAATGTGTTTAATGACTTATTTAGTTTACTAGGGTGACTTAGTTTATCGAAAAAGTTCGGTATCAGGTTTTTTATTTCAAACTAGCGATATTGCCTGACTTCGTTCGCATCGAATTAATCATTTGTAATGGTGATGACAAAGCAAAGCAAAGAATTTCCATTAACCTTACAAACTGGATAAAAATTTTTCTCACATTTATAATAACATGAAAAACAATATGGCGATGTGTATATAACTTAGTAATATTTGAAGGTCACATCTCGTTGGAGTCATTACATCAAGCAGTTTTAAAACAGAATCGTGGTTAATCAATTTTTAACTTTTGGAACACCTAATGATTTTTAAAAAGAATTTTAAAATATGTAAAAACAAAATACATTATGCGTGTTCAAACGTTTTCCCGAAAAGAGACTCGCCGTTTTTTAAATAACAAATTGTAATATTATTTGAGTGGCGTTTTCGCCCTCTTGGAGTTTGAGATTCGATAAACCTCTCCTTATCGAAGACCTCCCTTTAGAACCAATCAGTTGCCAAAATCAGTTTTAAACGTCAAACAGTTTAAGCAGAATCGTGATTACTCAATGGTCATATTTTCATAGAAACACCCTGTATAAATTTTTAAAATCTTGAAAATATGTAAAAACAATAGAATTAAAATATACGTGTTTAGGTTTTTCGAAAAAACCGGTTTTAAATAAAAAATATTCTAATATTTGAGGGGTGGTTCACCAGGGGGTTTCACCCTCTTAGACTTCGAGTTTCGAAAAACCCCTTCTTATTGAACCTCCACACCTAAAGGGTAATCCGTTTTCCAAAAATCAGCTTTTTACGTCCAAGCACTTTTAAAAGCAGGATCGTGATTAATCAATGACAGATTTTTCAGAAACACCCTGTATACATTTTCAAAATCTTAAAATATGCTTAAAACAAAATAAAATATACGATGTTTAAGCGTTTTTGGAAACTTGGCCGTTTCTTAAATAAAAATATTGTAATATTTGAAATTGGTTTCCCATGGAACTGGAATTTCTAAAAATCCCTTCTTATCGAACCTCTACACCTAGAATCAACCTGTATGCACAAGAGTGGGGCTTCTTACGTTGAGTGGTTTGAGCAGGATCGTGATTAATCAGTGAGTCAGTCACTTACGGATTTTTATATATTGTGGGATAGATTTCATTTTCATTCTTTTTTTTTTTTTTTTTTTTTTTTTTTTTAATAACAAATATTTTAGCATTTTAAAAAGGAAAATCTAATAAAGAAATTTTAATGGAAATCTGCGGATAAAAGAAAATGGATAACTAAAAGAGAATCGATTTAAAGAGCTTTATTAAGATTAGGAGTTTGATAATGGTGATTAATTTTGAAGTTACTTTTAAAAATGGTTATTTGAGATATTATACTTTGTTGATTCATCCATGAGTTTTGAGACGTATTTTAAAGTTAACTTCTTCTTTTTGCTGGCTAATTTAAAGAAAGGGACCTTCTTTATACACATCCCAAACTGCGGTTCGCAGTCACATAAAGGTGCGTATTCAATATCCGAACGAACGACAGACATTCGTTGGTTTGTTCGGTAGTAGTATGGATGGGACCGAATTTTAGAACCAGACGAACAACATCTACCCATTCGTTTTGAACTCCTTTGATGTACCGACTCGAAACGGATGGTCGAACGAACGAACGAACGGTCGCATGCGTTCGGTTCCCCGCCCAAATATACCGAATTTCATTCGCTCGCTCGTTCGTTCATTCGTTCGTTCATTCGTTCGGATAGTGAATACGCACCTTAAGACTCTTGTCGACTTAACGACTAAAGTGAGTGTCTAAATTAACTCACATACACTATCTCATAAACCGGTATGGTTGAGTATTGTGCTTCAATAGAGATATACAGGTGCTAAAATTTGACGTACGAGCATTTGGTATCTCGAAACCGTAATAGAATAGGGATGATTAAATTAGGGCAAAGTTTATAGGATGTTCACCAAGATGCCATCAAAAAAGTTCTAAAAATTCCAAGGATTGCTGAGTTTTTCGAAAAAAAAAACGGATTTTTGAAAATCGGTTTGTTTTTTCACTGTCGTTACTTTTTTAGAAAATCAATGAACTAATTCCATATTCTCATAGCCACTTTATTGGAGCCTCATTAGGTATTTTTAGATTTTCAAATTAGCTGATAATTTGTGAGATACAGAGGCCAAATTATATTTTTTAAATATGGACCTGCATTTTTTATATCAAGTTTTAAAAGAACTCGGACTTCTGAGTACTTTGATATGCCACACTTATACTTTTTTGTTTTGGGTACCTTAACAACAATAAAACTATTTAATTATTATTTAAAATAATATATCTTCTTATACTTCCGAATGCATTTTGTACTCCTTATTGTAAATGCTGAGATGTATTGATTTCACACACACACACATTATTTATTTTATATTATTTTTTATTATTTTATTGCATTTGATTTTCCGTATTGAATGTTTTACCCCACGTCATTTTTAAGTTTGAAAGCTTATCTCAATATCGTAACGATGAATGCGTTAAATATTTAAAAGAATAGAGCCGGACTTGAAATTAGTTTAAATTTTTTTTTTTTTTTTTTTTTTTAGCAAAAAAATTAAGTGTATTATCATTGTACTCAGGAGACCGAGTTCTTTCATAACCTGTTATAAAATATGCAGGTCCGTAATTAAAAATTAAGTTCCAAACCTCTGTATCTCTAAATTATCAACTAATTAATCTAAAAATATTAATATTTTTATTTTTTGTTCTTTTATGTACGGGGTGAGTCAAATTCGACGTTTTTAAATGGAAACATTCTTGTCTATAGGAGATAGGTGAAAACTAATATCGGTGTCCTGGAGCTCAATTTCTGTCAAAAACATTATGGTAAAAACCGCACATATCGATATCTGTTAACAGTTTCAGGTTACAGGGTGTTTTCAAAATATGCATTTTAACAAATCGCTGTAGCTTTTTAGCTATGGAGAAAATTTTATATTTTTATGAAAACATTTCAAAGCACTTTTTGTAGAATTTAATGGTTTTTTTTTTTTTTAATTTTTTAAAATTAATAATTTAAGAATTATCAACAGAAAATTTAGTTTTTTATAATTTTTTTTTTTTTCTGTATATTTTAATTTATTGAAATTTAAAATTACCTTTCCAAATATATAACACACTTGATATTTTTATCGATTCCCTCTTCGAGATATAGAATTATCTCAGAATTCGCCCACTTTAAATATAAGTAATAATAAGGCTTTGAACGGCACAGACTGTAATGCAAAAAAAAATCTGTGCGCATCAATTAAAACGAAATAATATTTGCTATGAGAGATGCAGAATTTTATAACAATTTAAAATATATTTAATAACATTTTTTTTTTTTATATTTCTTGAAACATTTTGCGAGACAATCCCAATAACAATAAAATAAATAGCAAACCAAGACTAGCTGATTTTGCTACGGGTGTTCGACATATCGACCGTCTTCTGTTATGGGCAGACGGGGCTGTTTTTGAAAATTTCTCGTGGAATTCGTTAATTCAGTGGGGGTGAAAATACCCTCTCATAACTGCTAAATATTTTAATTCTTTCTAGATTATACGGAAGAATAGGGAACCTTTATTCTTCCATAAAATATATCCACAGAATTGAACCATGGGCACCCTAGATCAAAGACTGACCTCAACGGCCAACTTGGCTGGGATCTTTGTTAACTATTCAATTATTCTTGAAATTGGCTGCAAAAATTTTCTGATAACTTCAGCGTTTGGAGGCGTTGCGTCGTCTTGCTGGAAAAATATGTTTTCGAGTTCCATTAAGGGCATATCATCAATATGGGGTCCAAAGCCTACTATTAAAAAGTGGCGAACTTTTAAAAAGTTGTATTTTGAAGGGATTATAACAAAATATCAAATTGTATATATATTTTTTGGAAGGGTAATTTTAAAATTCTTTTCCAGTTAATTAAAATATAGAGGGTGTCTCAAATAAAATCAATTTGCTGTTAGCTCTTAAATTATTAATTTTAAAAAAAAATTATGCATGACCATTAAATTCTACGTTAAAATGTGCGTTTGAAATGTTTTCCTTAGAAATACAAAATTTTCCATAGTAAAAAGTTACAGCGATTTGTTAAAATGCACATTTTTGAAAAACACCAGTAACTGAAACGGTAACAGATATTGATGTGCGGTTTCCACCATCATGTTTTTGATAAAAATGAGCTCCAGACACCGATATTAGTTTCGTCTATCT